CTGCCCCATCATAGATATCAGTGGGAGAAATAGTGCTCCACAATTGGTGTCAGAGGGAGGAATAATGCCCCATCATTGGTATCAGTGGGGGGGGGGGGGAATAATGCCCCGGGGTTGGTGTCAGTGAAAGGAAAGGTGCCCTGTATCAGTGAGAGGAAAAGTGCCCCAAGGGCTGGATAAAAACAAGCAAAGAGCCACAACCGGCCCCCAAGCAGTTGTTTGGAGCACTGTTCTACAGGTAAGCTTATAATAAGAGAGAGTAGTGCCCCATCATTGCTGTGAGTGGGGGGAATAGTGTCCCATCATTGGTCATTGGTATCAGTGGGAGGAATAGTGCCCCATCATTGGTATCAGTGGGAGGAATAGTGCTCCATCATTTGTATCAGTGGAAGGAATAGTGTCCCATCATTGGTATCAGTGGGAGGAATAGTGCCCCATCATTAGTGTCAGTGGAAGGAAGAGTGCCCCATCATTGGTGTCAGTGGAAGGAAGAGTGCCCCATCATTGGTGTCAGTGGGAGGAGTAGTGCCCCATCATTGGTGTCAGTGAATGGAATAGTGCTTCATCATTGGTATCAATATGAATAGTACCCCATCATTGGTATCAGTGGGAGAAATAGTGCCCACTCATTGGTATCAGTGGAAGAATAGCGCCCCATCATTACTATTAGTGGGAGGAATAGTGCCCCATCATTGGTATTAGTGGGAGGAATAGTGCCCCATCATTGGTATCAGTGAGAAGAATAGTGCCCCATTATTGGTATCAGTGGGAGGAATAGTGCCCCATCATTGGTGTCAGTGGGAGGAATAGTGCCCCATCATTGGTATCAGTGAGAGGAATAGTGCCCCATCATTGGTATCAGTGGGAGGAATAGTGCCCCATCATTGGTATCAGTGGGAGGAATAGTGCCCCATCATTGGTATCAGCGGGAGGAATAGTGCCCCATTGCTAGTAACAGTGGGAGGAATAGTGCCCCATCATTGGTGTCAGTGGGCGCAATAGTGCCCCATCATTAGTATCAGTTGAAGGAATAGTGCTCCATCATAGGTGTAAGTGGATGAAATAATGCCCCGATGTTAGTGTCAGTATGCGGAACAGTGCCCCAGCGTTGGTGTCAGTGAAAGAAATGGTGCACCATTTTTGGAGTCAGTGGTAGGAAAAGTGCCCCAAGGGCTGGATAAAAACAAGGAAAGGGCCACATCCGGCCCCCGGGCAGTAGTTTGGAGACCACTACCCTTGGGGTATGCTTATAAAAAGTCTTACCTGTTGGTCCCTTGGAAATGGCCTAAATTTGCTCCATTTAGTAGATACACGTGTAGCACCCCCCTAGGATAGGATGCTAGGCAAATTTAGTTGTTGGCTTGCTCTGTAATCTGAGGAGCGGAGACTGATTTCCCGGGTCTGTTCATAGCTCCAGTTTCCCTTGCCTCTGTGTAGATGCTTTCAGAGCTTAGGGTGCGGAAATCAAATGCCTAGAGTGAATATTCACCATGCTCTGGCCAATCCCTGTGCCCAGTAGGTGGTCAGAGAGGTGGTAAATTGGCTGGAGACCTGGTCAGACTTTTTTCAAGACTAATGCAAGCTTCAGGTGGCTGTTTGCCCCTGAAGTTCTCCTGGACTGGCTGATGGTCTACTCTCCTACAGACAGGCCTATGAACTTGTCCTTCTTGGGGATCTGTGAGTCTAATCCCTGTCACATTCAATTCATGATGTGTGGATTGTTCTACCTTGTCTATTTGTGCTAAGAATTAACCGTATGGTCCTCAGCTCGAAGGACTGTTCCAGTCTGCTTATTTGTGCTACCAATTTACCTTGTAGCTGCCAGCTGCCAGGACTCGGACTGTTTCAGTCTGTCATTGTCTGTGCTGGACATTGTCTCCTGGTCCACAGCTGTGAGTAAAAGACTGTGTTACTGCTGCTTACAGAGAGATGTGCGCTCTACTGGCCTCCACCTGTTACAAGTTCTACGGGACAAATACTAAATAGACATGCCCTAGACCAGCCTTTCTCAACCTTTTCTACACAGTGGAACCCTTGAAATAACGGTGGTCTCAGGGAACCCCTGCAAACAATTACTATATCTACAACTCATGATACATTAGTGCAGTAGTCTCCAAACTGCAGCTTGGGGGCCAGATGTGGCCCTTTGCTTGTCAACAATGAGGCCCTATTTTTCCCATTGACACCAATGATGAGGCACTATTTCCCCCCACTGGCACCAACAATAGGACACTATACCTCCCACTGACACCAATGATGGGGTACTATTCCTGCCACAGACACCAACAAAGGGGCACTATCCCCCCCCCCAATGACACCAACAATAGGACACTATTCCTCCCGCTGACACCAACAATTGGCCACTATTCCACCCACTGACACCAATGAAGGGGCGCTATTCCTCCCCCTATTACCAAAGATGGGTTGTTTACTCCCACAGATGCCGGGACAATTTCTACTCCCAATGGCTACAGTCTGGCCCCCTGAAAGTCTGATGGACAGTAAACTGACCCTAGGTTTAGAAAGTTTGGAGACCCCTGCATTTTTGTGATGGTCAGTGGGAAGAACACTCTTTACACTTGTGGTCATTAGGAAGAATTCTCCCTTACTGATAGCTAAAAAAGATCAATGGTGTCAGAAGGAACTTATCAGAGAGGCAGAAATTGCTCATTGCTCAAGAAACACTTGCACCCTCTGGAGAAATCCTAGGGTTCTATGGAACCCTGGTTGAGAAACCCTACTCTAAACTGAGCTGACGTGAATGGACTGTTGCTGTGTGCTTGGCTGCCTCTGCACTGTTTTAGGAAAGAACTGTTAAATCTACAGCAGCCCCTTTGTAGTGCTATGCGCATGTGGACTCAAGGCGATGACATCACTGATTCATGCACCATACACTCTACATTCAGGGTATACTGACTGTGCTCTAAATGCAAAGAGAACCAAACCACGATGGTGACTCCCATGTGCATGCATGGGAGTGATGTCATTGCGGCCCGGCCATTTAAACCAACAGAGAGTGCGAACCCAGAAGGAAGATTGGGAGAAGATGGAAGCAGTGGTAGTTTGGCACTGGATGGCTCTGTTGCTAACACATTATGTAACAAACCTTCAGAAGGGCCATTTAAAAAAACGTTTATAGAGTTAATTTTTACTTTCAGGGCCAGGTCAGCCTGGAAAGCGCTCATTCCATTGTGAACCGGTCCTAAGAGTCCTCTAACCAGAGCAACTTGAAACACAGGGCTTCCTCTCTTCTCTTCCTATTGGGTTACGGAGCAGTGAGTGACCAAAGGAAAGGTAAGCTAAATGTATGGGCTGTTTTCTGTCCCATTGGAGAAGTCCTCCTGTCTCAAAGATACAGCAGGCAATGAGGAGAGCTCTCCATAGTGAGGGGAAATCCCTTCTTAGAAAGTTGTCACCACAGGAGGTGTCCTCATTGAAGGATTTCCCCACACCTGTTCTGGTGACAAAAACAAAATGTTGGCTTTGCCATCACTTTGGCCACTAGGAAAAATAGAAAATGGGACTTTCTCCTGCAAGGAAACAGCAATAAAATCTTCAAGAGGTTCTAGCACAACCATGGACCTGAAACACGTTCAAACACACACATTCAGTGTCAGTGTCATACTTACACAACCAGAAAAATGTCCATACAGACACAACCAGAAACACAACTTCAGAGGCACAATCCCTTAATAACATAACCAGAAACATCCATACAGGCACAATCAGGGATGTAATGACACAACCAGAACCATGTCCACAGAAAATTCAGTACCAAACTCACAGCCAGAATAATCCAGTACTCACAGGATCCATACCAGGTCTTCTAGGATCTCCACTACCTGCAGGACTCATCTCCCAGTAATGACACTGGGCTTGTCCCCTAACCAGGAAGGGCATTTAAGCACCACCGTTTGAAGTGGCTGGTGATGTGTCTCATTGGCAGCTACCTGAGAGGTAAAGAGCTATGATACTCGCCTTCCAGTTGCCTATTTGTTGCAAACCCAGGTTGACCTGACGTCTTGCTTGCTGCCTGCCTAGACCTCTGCTTGGACCTGACTACTCTCTTGTCTGCCTCAACGCCTGCCTGGACCTGACTACTCCCATAAGCATCTAAAGTAATTGACTTGGTGAAATAATTCTATATTTCAGACACAACCACAATGATACATAAACAATTCATTTCTTAACTTGCCAGCTTCCATTGGTTCATTTTTGTATGGCGAACACAAAGCAGTAGACGTACCTCGGAGCACATGTAGCGTATACAATAAAGACTCCTTGAGGTTCAAGGTATGGGTTCCAGCTGTCTCCCAAACTGTACTTCTTACCGTGAACCATGTCCACAGAAAATTCAGTACCACACTCACAGCCAGAATAATCCAGTACTCACAGGATCCATACCAGGCCTTCCAGGATCCCCACTACCTGCAGGACTCAGCTCCCAGTAATGACACTGGGCTTGTCCTCTAACCAGGAAGAGCATTTAAGCACCACCGTTTGAAGTGCGATGTGTCTCATTGCCAGCTATCGGAGAAGTAAAGAGCTATGATACTCGCCTTCCAGTTGCCTATTTGTTGCAAGCCCAGGTTGACCTGATGTCTTGCTTGCTGCCTGCCTAGACTTCTGCTTGGACCTGACTACTCTCTCGTCTGCCTCAACGCCTGCCTGGACCTGAACCACAGTTTGAAGTGGCTGGTGATGTGTCTCATTGCCAGCAATCTGAGAAGTAAAGAGCTATGATACTCGCCTTCCAGTTGCATATTTGTTGCAAGCCAAGGTTGACCTGATGTCTTGCTTGCTGCCTGCCTAGACCTCTGCTTGAACCTGACTACTCTCTTGTCTGCCTCAAGGCCTGCCTGGACCTGACTACTCCCATAAGCACCTGAAGTAATTCTATATATCAGACACAACCACAACGATACATAACAATTAATTTCTTAACTTGCCGGCTTCCATTGGTTCATTTTTATATGGCGAACACAAAGCAGTGGACGTACCTCGGAACACATGCAGCGTATACAATATACGACTCCTTGAGGTTCAAGGTATGGGTGCCAGCTGTCTCCCGCACTGTACTTCTTACCGTGAAATATACAAAAGATATCTGGACCTGGAAAGAGAAAGTAAACAAGTTACTGAAGATGGCTCACCATCCAAAGATTTAGGCGTAAAAGAAACATTCTAGAAAACAAATCTTTAGGTCAAACCTTGGTCATTGACAAAACATATGGACACAGTGTGGGTTTTGTGAACAGCAAAGTATAAAGTCTGTATTGTCTCATGTACTGTCCCCCACTATAATGTACAGCGCTGAGCAAACTTTTTGGCGCTATATAAATACTGTATAATAATAATAATAATATATCAAGCCAAAAAAACTTTTTTTTTTTTATAAAGCAGGCACCCCTGTTGGGTTTTTACTGCTATTTGAAGCTTTCTTTGAGAGATCTACCCTCACTCCCCTCCAATAAAACCTCATATAGCAGATAGCAGTAAAAGGCCAACAGGGGATCCAACCCATGCCCACTTTATTCAAAACTGGCTCGACATACACTTTAATTAGGCATAATTATGGCTAACTTAGGGCAAATTAAGTTAGGTTCATTTGACCTGCTTGTGAAATAACTCTTCAAAATGCAGTGTGACAGTAATATTGTTAAAACCTGTTTATTAACAAAACCTGTAAACCCTGTTTTCACGCTTCATTCACACAGCACACATTTCAGCTCTTTAAATTGTTAAAGCACAACTCCAGGCACCAACATGAGGCAACAAGGCTCCAGATTAAAGAAAATGTATGCATCTCAGAGTTCATCCCTTCATAAACAGATCCAGAAACTAGGTGCAACACATGAAAAATCCCTGGCCTTCTATACATACAAAGAATTGCTTTCTCAGAACTCCCTAAAATATCACAACATTGAGAGTAAAATAATGAGAGGTAGAGACAGGGACATCTTAATAGCATCATGGCCCCTTGGCAAAGTAATGCACTGGGACCCCTACCAGCCTACCCACCTACTCTCAAGAATTTAAGGATGAATGGATGATAGAAGTAACTTCGGCCCCCTCTTGACCAAACTCTGCATGGACCTTTACTATTGGCAGTCATTGCCCTGATGTAGATATTTTTTATACACATTCCCAGTAGTTCTCCAATATACAGACTTTGCTGCTAAAATATATATGGCACAACAAGCCATCATGTGCACACTACTCATTCTTTACTCTTCTGAATTATAACGGTGGCTTTGATGTTCCTAACTTGTCTAAACTTCAAGGTGCCAATCAGCGTGGTAAGTTGGCACCAGGGGCGGACTGACAACTCATGGGGCCCCTGGGCAATAGGAGATCATGGGGCCCCTGTGTCCTCACCTACACTCAAACCACACCAAAAAAAAAGCCTATGAAAAGGCACCACGGCCATCTCATGGGGCCCCCTACTGAGCCTGGGCCCTCGGGCAGTGCCCGAGTTCCCAAATGGTCAGTCCGCCCCCGGTTGGCACAATCAATTAAACTTCAAACAGTAGGTCCAGATGGAGCAGGAATCAACCCAAACAACTTGTATTCTCTAGTCCCTTCCTGTCACTCGAAATCCATAAAAATTCACCCAACCCAAGGATCACAACCCAAACCTTCCTCTTGTCTACAATATCTCCCCATCCTACACTCATTGCTTGTTTTATTCTGCTTCCCAGCCATCACAGAAAACAAGCACCTCAAACATCTCATGGACTCTCATGGCAAATTTCAACTCCTGTTAGCCCCAAATAGATGGTTTACCCCACAGGGGATTCAAAACGTAATCACTCAACCTCTAGATATCTGTGTTGCATCTTTTTTTTCTCTTAATATAGTAAAAAAAATAAAAGAACAATGGTTATTAAATAACAGCAACAGAAAGCTCCGTCTTTCTCAAAAAACTATATATATATATATTTCATTTAGGTGCAGTGTTTTAGGACAGACAAATTGCCAGTAAAACTATAACAGAAATGAAAACTGAACATGGCCTGGTAATGAAGGGGTGCTAAAGGCTAGTACTAAAGTGGTTTAAGACATTTTTTGAGAGTCATCTCCATGTGAGACAGGCTCTCTAAACCCACTTCCCTTCAAGGACCTATGCTGAGCCATCTCCAAAACATCATATCTGCTTTCCCACTTGTACTAACTCCTAATCTCTCCACCAGAGAGATTTATCCCTCCATATATGCAAATGGGAAAGCTAACTGCAAACTACACTCACCCCTTTGCAAACTGACAGAGCTTTCCAATTCTCACACAAATCTTCCATAGCTAACCTTTTTCAAGAACAAGGTTGTAAACTATTATTCCACTGGTATCACGTTCCGTTGATTCTTAATACAATAACAGCCACAAGTTCCCAACACCTGTTGGCAATGCCAATCAGAACTAGGCTTGCTCTTGCATACCTTCTGGAACTGCTTGCTGATTTGTCCATTCTGGTCTTAAGTCCAGAAGCTGATCCTTCCAACTTACCTCCATAGACTTGGGAAAGAACCCTGCTGGTTATCTGCTCCAGGTCAACCCGATTCTGCTGAAAGGGTTGCTAACATTTCACTTATATGCAGCACGTGTTTGCAGATCGGTTTTATGGAAGCAAACCCCTAAGGTTTGCTATATTTAACAAAATGGCAGATGGAAGACATCACAGCTACGCGGTACAACAGAGAGATAACTTTAAGAAATACGTAGTTTCCAGTAGCACAGTTTAATCATTATCTACATTCAAAAATATGCTGACTAATCACAACTAGACGTAATGCACTATAGGTGCTAGTTACTTTAGCTGCCCATTATGGACAATTCTTGGTCTGTATATTCCTTAGGTATGACAGTCCACATCTTCTTGCATGACTCCCCTTATGGGCCTTCAAACTCCAGGTTCATGTTCACACTCCTTATTCACCTTTCACCCTTACTCTACCCTGTGCCCCAGTTACCTCTCCCCAACCTGTTCAGCTCCCGTTTTTCCTCTCCCCCCTCTGGATCTTTGTTTTTATGCACCTCTATCCTACAATAATCTATTCACAGAACACTACACCCCCAACATGACCGACCAATGGACATAATCATAATACAATTCTAACAACAATATAAGTGCAGCGCTACAAACAATGTCCAGGTGACAATTAAAATATATGCGATCGTCACTTATAAGAGTGTTAAAGATAATGGACAGTTCAGTGATGAGGAGCTCGCAGGGAGTATAGGTGTAATCCAATCCCAGGAATAGATAAATTGCCTGCTTACCAGAAGCGCAATTTCAATGCGCATGTACAGGTTTCATGTAGCCGGGGTCCCATGTAGGCGCTGCTTGATAGTACCCAGATGGTCCGTCAGTGGTAAGATGATACTGGCCTGGTCGGGTCACACTGCTCCTTGGATCCACACAGAGAACCTAAAAATGCTGGGCTGAGGTATGGGAACTCAGTGCCAGGTGTAAGGAGTAAAAATACTCATAGGTAGTATGTTTAAAAATATTTATTAAATCCAATACGTAAAACCATGAAAGTGGTCAGTGTATAGAAAAATTTTTTTCAAGCTGCTTATACTGGCTACAGGCTGCAGGCATGTGTTTTGTAACTTTCATGGTTTTACGTATTGGATTTAATAAATATTTTTAAACATACTACACTATGAGTATTTTTACTCCTTACACCTGGCACTGAGTTCCCATACCTCAGCCCAGCATTTTTAGGTTCTCTGTGTGGATCCAAGGAGCAGTGTGACCCGACCAGGCCAGTATCATCTTACCACTGACGGACCATCTGGGTACTATCAAGCAGCGCCTACATGGGACCCCGGCTACATGAAACCTGTACATGCGCATTGAAATTGCGCTTCTGGTAAGCAGGCAATTTATCTATTCCTGGGATTGGATTACACCTATACTCCCTGCGAGTTCCTCATCACTGAACTGTCCATTATCTTTAACACTCTTATAAGTGACGATCGCATATATTTTAATTGTCACCTGGACATTGTTTGTAGCGCTGCACTTATATTGTTGTTATTTTGGTTGGAAGGGCTTGTAGTTCCTTTTTGTGCATTTGCCGCTCACTGGAGTGCGCTCACTTTTCTTTATTTCACACAGTCTGATAATACAATTCTATCACACTCTATACATAGAACACTACACCCCCAACATGACCGACCAATGGACATGATCATAATACAATTCTATCACACTCTATACATAGAACACTACACCCCCAACATGAACGACCAATGGACATGATCATAATACAATTCTATCACACTCTATACATAGAAACACTACACCCCCAACATGACCGACCAATGGACATGATCATAATACAATTCTATCACACTCTATACATAGAACACTACACCCCCAACATGACCGACCAATGGACATGATCATAATACAATTCTATCACACTCTATACATAGAACACTACACCCCCAACATGACGACCAATGGACATGATCATAATACAATTCTATCATATTCTATACATAGAACTGTACACCCCCACCATGACTGACCACTGGACATGATCATAATACAATTCTATTACAAATCGTTACATAGGACACTACACCCCCAACATGACCAACCAATGGATATGATCATAATACAATTCTATTACACTCTATACATAAAACACGGCGCCTCCAACCTGACTGACCACTGGATATGATCATAATAACATTTTAATTATACTCTGTACATAGAACAGTAGACCTTCAACATGACCAACTACTGGGCATGACCATAATACAATTCTATTACACTATCCTAGAACACTGCACCTCCAACTTGACCAACCACTGGACATGATCATAATACAATTCTATCACACTCTATACACAGAACACTACACCCCCAACATGACCGACCACTGGACATGATCATAATACAATTCTATCACACTCTATACATAGAACACTCTACCCCCAACATGACCAACCACTGGACATGGTAATAATACAATTTTATTATACTCTCTACATAGAACAGTAGATCTTCAACATGACTGACCACTGGACATGATCATAATACAATTCTATTACACTCTATACATAAAACACGGCACCTCCAACCTGACTGACCACTGGATATGAT